CGGACGCTTAACCGACTGCGCCACCCAGGCGCCCCAGCATGTGATGTTTAAAACAAATTGGTGTTCAGTAACAACTGGTGGGGCCAGAATTTGCCTCCAGGCACTCTGACGACAAAGACCAAGTTTTTTGCTTCACTGGAATTGCTGAAACATTTTTACGTCGAACACCTGCGCAAAAGCCCCAGGGTGAACAAGGTCTTCACGGGATGGATATGGTTTGAGTGATTTTAAAGAACTTACTGTTAAAACAAATTACACAATAAAACACCCTTTATCATTGTTATGTTTCAGAACTTTCCATTCCAATCCAAATCATTACTATCTCCCAGCCAGAAACACGCCCATTCACTTGGTTAGTTTCAAACGCCTTGTAAAAGCAGGGACAACAGGTTTCCCCTCTTCAGTCTTCTTTTCCAGCTGTTCCTGCAGGTTAACTGGGCGCACAAATGTGCAGTTCTTCTTAAAGCTGTCCACAAGGAACTGACGGCGCGTTCCTATGCAACCCCTAAGACAATCCCCTTTGCCAACCTCACTGACACCAAGCTTCTGATCCAAACCTAAGCATGAAACCTTCCTCCTAGATGATCCCCAACACGGCCTCTTCACAAATTCCACGTCTCCGGGTCACCATGCGGGAGGAATGGAATCTAAGTGACGATGAGAGGTACTGAGACAAGGTCTGGGGGAGTTCCAGCACACGTGTGAGGCAAGTCCCTCGAGAGAACATTACCAATTTCAGTTAAGAGACACAGAAGAAACAACCAAGAATGTGACTGTTACCTGGGAACGACTCATTTCGACCTCCTCTTTCTTTCCTGTTCCTCGAGGCTTCTTTCTCGGATAAGATCAGTCTTGAGAAGTGAACCCTGAGTGCTGAAAATAGGCTGTTTCATGCTTAGAATGAACAAACCGTCTTCCGGTGAGACAACCATACACAGAGGTAGAACCTCAACACGGGAAGGGACAGGGCTCTGCCGCCCCAGGAGGAGCCCGAGGAGGGGCTCGTGAACGCAGAGGCGAGCAAAGGAGCGGGTTCTTCCCCTTTTCTGCAGAACTCGTTGGCCTGCGGAGTGGCCCACGCGCTCTGCTGCTGCAGTGGGACCTGGGCTGGACTGACGCTCCCCTCCAAGCCACAGACCCGGCCCTGACCAAACACCGCACAGAAAAGAGCCCCTCCCCTCCCCCAACCCATTCTTGGACCAGGGACGGAGGAACAGGACAGTGAAGCACGTGAAGCGGCGGAGAGGCTGTAAGCGGAGCCGGACGCCGGGACGCGGGGCTACCGGGCCTCGGAACGTCTCACAGCCACGCCGGGACTCACCGTGAGCGGGAGGGAGAGAACGGTAGTTGTAGCCACCAGAGAACCTCGGAGTGGAGGACAGCAGGCTGTGCTGCCTCGAAACACGGGTTTGATACTGGGTATCCCAAATTCACTCACCGGAGAGCATCTGCTGTCAGCTCGATTCACTTCCGGGTCTGAAGGAAACTGCGCACGGCGGCCTGGAGAAGTAGTTTAGGGGGCGGGGCCTGGGCGGGGCCGCGTCCAGCGAAAGGCGGGACGTGGAGAGTAGGGACTGGGCAGGAAGCGCGCGGTGGGGGCGGGCCAGTGTGGGGGCGGAGCCTCGACTCTACTGGCCCTGCTCCGCCCCTGGCAGTTTATGGGTCTGTTACTCCCTCTGCCCCGGCTGTGCTTGTTTCTCTGCTTTTTGATCACTGTGGAACAGAGCTGCTTCCTGCGTGTTCTAAATTAACGTTTCTAACAATTTAAGAGAGTAGTTATAAGGCCAATTATATTATAAGCTGAGATGTTTTCCTCGAGTTGAGGGTGACTAAATTCAAAAGCTCTTGGTGCCAGCTGGTGGAGATGTGCCTTGAGAGCGATGGACACTGCAATGACATCTCAGGAAAGAACTAAGAAGTATCATCGGGAGCTGAGACCTGACAACGAGTAAGAAGGACCATCGTTTACATTTATTCTATTGCCACAGTTAGTTGAATTTACCAGTTTGCTTCTACAAATTAGTTAGAAAGGATTTGGATTTGATATAGGTCCTGAGTGTAATAATATGCTATATTGATGATATCATAAGAATATCAGAAACTTAAAAATAAGATAGGTAGAACTGATATAAATGCATTAATGGCACCAAAAAAGACTGGTTGTTAAATCTAGCAAAGATCTAGGGACTTGCCCAAATGGTGAAATTCTTAGGAATGTTCTGGGCAGAAGCCATTCATGACGTTCCACAGGTGACTAAAAAGAAACTAGTATCCTTACCTACCCCTAGAACTAAACAAGAAGCCCTATGTTTGAGTGGTCTATTTGGATTTTGGAGATTGCATATTCTACATCCAGGAATATTGCTAGTTCCTATCCATGAAACTATCTCAAAGAAGGCCATATTTAAATTAGGACCTAACAAAGACAAGTCATGTCTGATTTGCAAAAGTAGTGTCTTTCAATGTTTATCTTTGGACCCCTGTGATGCTTTAAGAAACGATTTTGGAAGGGACTGCAATGCAGAGTAGTGCAGACTGTAATTAAGGGTAAAAGCCTTTGAGTGCCACCTAGTGGCAGCCACTAAGATATGGGACCAGAGGATGTTTGGATGCCTGGGCATTACATATACTATCTGAGATAAAGTTACTACCTTGCTACTAGGTGTTAATTGAGATGGCCATAAAGGACATAAAATAGTATTGAAACACGAAATTCTTGTGCTGTTTCGGCCCATACTGGAGAAACACTCTGCTAAGGGATGAAGTGCCTATAAGTGTTCCATAATAAAAAGGAAACCATTTTCACAGGAGCGTGCTACAGGGGGAGTGCAAGTAGGCAGCCATCATGTCCACGGCCGGTAGCCTCTTTTCTCCTAAGAACAACTTTAGCAACACCTAGCGACACCCGAATTACTGCCAGAGCCTACTGACACTTGTTTTTCTGGATGGAAAGCTGGATTAAACAGAATAGGAGAAAACTATGGGCTTCTGATGACCAGTAGGCATCTTACAGTGGGTCTGAATTCCCCTGGAAAACTGCCCCACCCTGAACCTAGGAAGGCAGTGGGAAACCCAATGACATACTCAAACTAAATTTTGTCTAGGTGTAACTACTATGCATTTAACTCTAGTTTGGGGGACTCAACATTTTCGGATACAAAACATGTATCACCCTCACATACATATACATACGTTGGTGAGCCTTTATTAGTATTGCATTGGGTTTGCAGATTATTAGCATTAAGAATTGATATATTCATGCTGTGAATGAAGATGCTCCCACTGACGAAGATGCTCTTTATTCAAGTCTTTCTCATATCCCAGCACTCTGAGGCTAACTCTCCTTGAGATTTGTCCCATGCAGATAATCCAAGATATTCTCTGCATCTCAAGATCCTTAATTTAATCGCATCTGCAAAGTCTCATTTGCTTTGTAAGGGAACATAGTCAAAGGTTCCAGGAATTAGAATGCAGAGATCTTTGGTGGGGGGGCATTATTCTTTATACTATAGGTTCTAAGCTTCTCTATTACATTAATTAATAACGTGGAAAAATATATAATATATATTATATATAT